CTATATGGGTAAGTGAAAAGAACTTTTGGCTTTGCATTGCAAGTGTGAAAAGCAACGATCGGTCGTATGGACTGTAAGCCAAAAAGTTGGTGCAGCTTACTTAGATGAAAATTGTGTACAAATCCATGCTGTGATTGTTTATCACTAGCTGGCTGTTGGGTTTCTGGAAGTCCACTTTTTGTATTCTAGATTTTGCAATATATTACTTTTTTTTTTGAAAACTTCTAAAAATATAGCTTAGTTTGTTCACCAGTGGCCATTTTTGATGAAATCCTCGTGCGGATAAGTCGTCTTGAAATCCCTCTTCTACTTTATCGCCTCATAAGAATCTCTCTGAAGTTTTTATATTTTTCCTGAATCTCTCTTCACTTGCAGAGTTTTTGTGTTTTTACATGTTTCCTAATGCGTTCTAAAAACCAGCTGAGCAAAAAATTGCTAAATTCTGCTTTTCCATATTATGTTTCATTTCTGAATTTGCTACATAAACTGGCCTTTTTTTGTCCCAAATATTATTTTGTCAAAAAAATCCTAAAATGGACTGCGGATGTAAGTAGCCAATAATGCATTTACAGATAATCAGGATGATGTTGTCATTCGTTTGTTTGGAGTTACGGCTGGCCAAAATTCTGTTTGTGTGCAAGTGCATGGATTTGTTTCATATTTTTATGTATTATTAGAAAGTGCATTCGAAGAAAAACACATCGAATATGCCAAAAAATATTTGGATAATTTAATTAAGGTAAATCTTTAAATTTGAAATTGCAAGTCATGTTTTATAACTTCTTGAACAGATTATGAAAAACTGTCACGAACTTCCTAATGCATTTTTGGATCGATGGCTTGAGTTTTTGTTAAAAATCTAGAACAAAACGAATAATCATTACAGAGTAATTCTTGAATTTCAGAGTCAATTACCAACAAATATTGGAATTTCGAAACATGTTGAGAAGTTAGTTGTTGATCTGGAAATCGTACAAGGCGCCAATATTTATGGTTATAAGGAGAATCTAAATCAGAATTTTCTAAAAGTATATGTTCGTTCTCCGAGGCTCCTCAATATCTGTAAGTGGGACATCAAGTTCTTATATTTCTATTCAATTTTTTAATGTCCAAATTCCGCTAAACTGTCTTAAATTTGATCAAATTTTACTCCATTTTGTTCCAACGATGTGGATTATTTTTATTTTTAGGTCGTCGAATATTTATGAATGGAGTTGATCTGACGAAATCTGGAAAGACCGAGTCGCTGACGTGTTTTGAAACAAATATTGATTTCGAAATTCGATTTATGACAGATCACGATTTGGTGGGCTGCGCCTGGGTTACGTTGCCGCCGAAAAAATACGAAATTATAAAAGAGAAAGAAATGATTAGTCGGTGCCAGTTTGAGGTATCATACGCGAATTTTTCATCCTTGAATATTTACCTTGCGGATTTTTCCATGTATTCTCGATTTCTGACTTTCAGCAGTTCACTTATGTTGTTTATTGTTCTAGTGCTCAGTAAGAAATGACGATCTAGTGGTCCATGCGCCTGATTCATCGCCAAAATGGTCATCAGTAGCACCGCTGCGCATTCTTTCTTTTGATATCGAATGCACAAATCGAAAAGGTCCGAATTTTTTTAATTCATTTTCTTATGAATATTTTGCACTGTTTTCTACTGATCGCGTTTTTTCAACTGTCTCAAGCTGTGTAACTCAACATGGGAAAATATCGCCTAGCTCTGTTTGGCTGGGTTGCATTTCGTTAATATCAGATTCTGCATTGATAACTTGGGCAGTTTTAATGATTTTATACATTGTTCTAATAAGTCAAAAAGAGCTTCCTCGTATTTTTTGAGAAAAAACAGATTTTTATTTGATGTTGCTGATGTTTTTTTGCAGACTTTTGACAAAGTTTGGTGCGAATATTGATGTTTTTTTAGGTATTTTCCCAGAGGCTCATACAGATGCGGTCATACAGATAGCTAACATGGTGAAAGTTGAAGGCGAGAATGAGCCATTTATTCGCAATTGTTTTGTTATCGGTGAAACAGCGCCTGTTATTGGCAGTGAAATCATTGTTTCTAAGAGTGAAGAAGAAATGCTTGAAGTGATTTCTTGTTTTTTTTTTTTTTCCTTTTTCAAGTTCTATTCAAAGAGTAGATCGTAAAAGAAGCAGCTGGACACAGCAGTTGATGAAATAAGTTTTTATGCGTTTTGTGCTGTGTAACAGCAGTACAAAACGCATATTGTTACGGGGTTGTCTGT